TCAGCACTCGGACAGCGCTTCGATACTCTCAAAATGATATTCCTTCGATAAAACCTAGTATCGATACCACTAGGGTTTAGTTTAATGATAACCGCGACAAGTTAATTAGTCTGAGTATTATTAAGCATTAATAATACTCGATATATCTCATAATAATAGCCCAAATAATTATTTTAAGGACCTAATAACATTCCTATAAATATTTGAAAGCTATATTAAAAATTGCGTAAGTGTAGCATACTTACAGCGAATTTTATCGAAAACCGGGACTTAATTGGAGCAGCGTTTCGAAACCGAAAAACTCCTTTTTCTCGGAACTCCGGGAGCCTCGGGGCTTCTCTAGGGTGCTAGGGGTTTAACTAGGGCTTAGGGGTGGTTTGGGGTTGTAGAGAGAGAAAGAATTTAGAGAGAGAAAGGATTTTGGTGTGAAAAATGAGGGCACCTTCGGCCCCCTTTTATAGGCGCGAGGGCCTCGCTACGCTCGGCGTTCGGTGGTGCTACGCGGGGCGTAGCTCGGAGGTGGTTGCCAGCTCGCAACAGCTAGCTCGCACTCGGACTCGGACGGATAAGGCCGGAGGTACGCGGGGCGTACCGGACTATTACTAATTATCTCACACTTTAATTTTTGACGCTCATTTTTATTCTTTATTAATTATACGTTTATAATTAAATAATAAACACATAAACACATAATTCACATAATACTCAAATATTTCATATTTATTACTTCAAAAAGATTTACAATAGTTGACCTAGACTATTACATTGACAAAAATATTTAGCCCTGAAACCCGGGCGTTACAATAAATAAGTTAGTGCATGCAAATATCCATTATGCGAAACTTGACTCGTATCCCCCCCCCCCCCCCCCCCGGGCGAAAATCATGGCAAACACAAAAACTTGGGGGTATGAAGTTCACCTTGGTTATTTCGTGTGGTTGTAGACAGGAAAAAATGATTGGTTTTCGAGCCTAGCCTTGCACAAGCTTGAAGGATTCTCGAAAATGCTAGTGTTCTAACACACAAAAAATTGTGTGTAAACAAGATGAATTTGATAACAAATGTATGAAAATACTTGAGATTCGTGAAGAAGCTTACCAACAAAACCTAGGACCGATCTTGAGGTGATGATACTCGAAAATGGCTTTGTTCTTAGAGAGATAAGGGAAGTAATGAGCAACATAATTCAAGTGGCAAGAGTGGGATGCCCACTCTCGGCCGAATCCCCTTTCAATAAGAGGGAAAGTTACTTGGTTAATGTTTGATGGGTTATCAAGGGTCATGCATGGAGACATGAAGTATAAGAGCTTGCATGGGGTGGAAGTATGAAGGATAATGGAATGTAAAGTAATGAGTTGTCACTCCATTTATAATTTCTTTTTCCTTTTTTTTTTCAAATTCCAAACTGAAACCCTATGAGGTTTTCGGCTTTTATGGGCTATCCATTAGGGTTTTCGGTTTTAGGGTGGTCGAAAACACCCTCCTCTCACACAAGGTTTGCGATTTTTAGAGATATGGGTTCTCGGGTTTGACATGGCCCAAATAAAAGAGTTTTCGACCTAGGGTTAATTGGGCCGAGAACCTCTAAGCAAAGGCCCAACAATTAGTTTTTGGTTTATCTATTGGATCAAACTTAGGCTTATAAGAGCTTATTACAACTTGATTCATAGGGTAAGCATATATGTATTCATATTTTGAAATTCAATAATCTAATGCAACAAGGTTACATAGAGAAATTATGTGTACATGAATACAATCATGACCATAATTTTGCTAGTTGTGACAATAATAGAATCTTGAATTCCAAGTTGAAGCAGTGAATTACCAAACACACTACATAATGTAATTTCGTAAGCTCACTTACCGACCGTTCTCTTTCTCGATATATTCTTATTAGCTTTTGTATGGTTTGTGTGAATTTTGTTTTAGAATGTCAATCTCACCGAACGTGAGCGTATTTTGAAATGACTTAGGGGTCAAGATGTTGGAAACGAACCAACGAAAAGGGGAGGGCCTAAATGTTGGATAACATTGTATGAGATGAAGATGAACAATGACCACCAATCTTCCAAAAAGAATGGATTATTCTAGCCGAATAATATACAATATAGTGAAAAAACTATATGTAATAGTGTATGTAAAAAAATTTCTTTTCTAAGAATGTAATGAAATTTTTTTAACTTGTATACAAAATTTTGTGATTCTTCAAGAAGTTCATTGCATCAAAATATATATTCTTTCTGAATGTGTATTCTTGTATGGTTCAAATATATTTGTTATTTTTCAATATATTAATAAACATATTCTGTCAGAATATCCAAATTACGAGAATTATCATCCCTAAAATCAGATTTTTAAAATTAATGGAATCTATTATCCCTTAAAATATGAAATTTTACTTTTTTAAAATTATGTTATTTGACTAAAATACCCTTAGAATGAAATTAAATGATATTTTTTTAATTATCTTTAATTCAAGCATATGTATTATTCACTTTCTTAAAATAAATAAAGGATTGGCCCACAATCATTTATATATCCAAAACTTGAAAATTCAACAATAAAGATAGCATGTTGATAAGAAACACATTCCATAAGACAAATCAATAAAGTCAACTTAAATTATATAAGATATATATAGTATCTTAATGATTGTAGTTATCATATATAATTCAAGAGAACTTTGTTGATTTTTCGTATCGAGCGCGTTTCTAGGCCACATGCTACTTTCATTGTTGAATATTGGAGTCTTGGGTGTAAACAAGAAGTGACTTAGGTGTAAAGAATGGTAACCGGGGAAATTTGTATTTTTTTAGAAGTTGTCAAATTAAGTTCAACTTGTTTTACGACACATAACTTAAATGTTAACATGATTAAATAGTTGCAAAGAAAGTTATAAAAGCTACAATAGTTATAAAAACGCATGCTAAAAATGATATATAGTTATGATTTTTGTTATGATATTTATTGAAAACAATCACAAAAACAACCCAAAAATGATATATAAATTATCATTATTGTGTTTTTTTAATAAATAACAAAGTATAATGACTAAGATAAATCATCAAGAAAAGTTCAATGACTAATTATAACATCGACAATATTATACACCGGGCCAGTTAGAATGACCAAAATGACGAAAAATAAACAAGTTCAATTACTAATGATAACTTAAAGAAAGTATAATCACCAAAATAAAATACATAGAAAAATTCAATAACTAAAAATGATCTAAATAGGAATCATAAAAAAATACAAAAATAGTATATAAATTATTAGTATTGCGTTTTTTAATAAAAAAAATTATCTTTGTTTTGAGTTTTTTAATAAATATAAGTTTTCTTTAAATAAATTTAGTATATATATTTAAAAAATCACTCTTAAATTTTAACAATTAAAACCAACCTTAACCAAATGTAAGTGTTGCTCCTTCCCTCCATCAATATTAATACTTCATGTTTCGCTTTTGATTTATCCAAAAATAATTGCATACTTCTAAAAATAAATATCCATTTTACCAAAATACATCTTATTGTTAGTTAAACTATCATTTTGAAACAATTAATTTTGAAAGAGGAAATATTTTGTAATTGTTTATCGGTTTCAATTGTTAAATTAAAAAAACAATAGTACATTTTTTGTTAATACAACCAAAATATAAAGACTTTTATACAAGATTTTAATATCAACTAAGCTTACAGATTAGAGGGGTATTCATACTTTCAATAGGCATAAGACTTTAGGGGTGAGCATAATAATCGAAAAACCGAACCATAACCAAATTAACCGATATAACCGAACCATAATAACCGAACCGTTTTAAAAACCATTGGTTCGGTTTCTAATTTTTGTTAACCAATAACAAACGGCTCGGTTATGGTTTTATAGGTTAACCGAACCATTATTAACCGAACCGCTAACTTTATATTTTAATGCATAAAAATTATGGATTATATATAAAATAATATAGTCAAACTTATTTAAAACCCATTAAATTTTCAAAATATAATTCATTAATACTCACTTATCAAGAGATGAACATGCAAACAAACCATAAAAGGATAAATGGATGATCACGTAGATTATGCAGACACACACAATTTTCCAATCATGCATTGAGTTATATTATTGATTAATGTTGTAATTCCAAATCAGCTAATTCTATAATTTGCAAACATTATTCACAATTAGTCTTATCTTCACACTCATAATCCTAATCGGAGGCTTCTCAAACCGTTAATTCTAATCAAAGATTGTTTTAACTTTATAGTTCTATTCGAAGGATTTTTTTAATTTATAAACAAAACTTCTAGGTAAGTTAAGTTTTTAATTCTTCCTCACTTTATGATATATTAAAAATGTATTTTTTCTAAAAAAATGTTTTTTATTTACTGTTTTTACTTAATCACATTGGATATATATGAGTGGTTTTTTTTATACAGATAACACGTAATATAAATGTTTAACTATTTTATTTCTATACTTTTTGATTTAATCGCATTGAGTATGTATGAATGTTTAACTTTATTTTAATGTTAATATCAATTATCAATATATGGAGTTGTTACTGTCAATTTTTTTTAATTTGTTATACTTTTTATTGAATATTTTTTATTTTGAATGTGACTATGTATTATCTCACTCTGAGTATAAAATGTACACATTTTATTCTATTACTATAAGCTAGGTTACAAACATTGGTGCTGATGACTTTTTGTATTCTCTTTTTATTTTTTTATGCCATTTATATTATTTTTAACATTATGGTTAACCAATATTAACCATTAATCAAAACCGTTAACCGATAAAAACCATTAACCATGACCAATATTAACCATACCCAATGGCTACTAAAATGTATTAACCAGTCATAATGGTTATGGTTCGGTTTTGACCAATAACCGAACCAAACCGCTCCATACACACCCCTATAAGACTTTTACGAAGATAAGTAACTTGGGGGGTCTTCCATACTTTCAAATCAAATTACACACTACACACATCATTCAATAATAGAAGCGAACAAAGAAAAGATTATCATATTGTCTCATCAAGTTCTTAATAGAAAACCACGCCAAACCAAAAGTCAGATTCACATAAATTCCCAAAACAAAAGTTAAAAATCCTTAACTAAAACCTTCAACAAAATTTACAAATTCCCTCCAAATCCGCTTTGAATAAAAAAACCTCCTCAATCCTCATAACAAAATTGTGAACCTCACACGAATTCAAACCTATCTACGTTTAAACTTCTTGTTGTTTGACTTGTTTGACTTGTTGTTCGACGACTTGTTACTCTTATTCTTCCCATGAAACTTGTCCCCCTCATCCTCCTCCTCTTCACCTCCCCTCCTCCTCTTATGCCCTCCCGCTTCCTTAATATTCTATAACAAAACCCAAACCAAACCCAAATTAACAAAAAACCATAAAACAAAAAATAAAATTTCAATTAAAAAAAAAACAATAATACCATGAGGGATAAGCGTTTAGCCTCAGTGACACGTTCCAAGAATAACAAAACCTCCTCTTCTTGTGCTTCAAACTCAGGTAGCTTCTTACCAATAAGCTTCTCTATTTGAATATACCACTCAAGCTCATACTGATTCACCAAAGATATAGCAACCCCAGATCTCCCTGCACGTGCTGTCCTCCCCACTCGATGAATATAATCCTAAAAATATATTCGCTATTATAAATTAAAACCTCAAGTACATGAATTTTCTTTTTTTTTTTTAAAAAAAAACATATATGTATATACTTACTTTTGAGTTTGTAGGAATATCATAATTTATAACCATATCAACTGAAGGAATATCAAGCCCTCTACTCGCCACATCAGTGCATATAAGAATATTACACTCCCCAGCCTTGAACTTATTCAACGCCCCTAGCCTTTTTGCCTGATTTAATAAACATTCATCATAGTTACTATTACATTTATAAAATTAAAAAAAGTCAAAATAAATTGATACCTGAGTCATTTGACCAGAAATTGGGATTGCACGAAAACTAAGGTTACGAAGCATTAAAGCCAAAAGACGCGTTGCTTCACAGGTACGTGTGAACACCATTGAAGTACTCCCGGATTTTTCATTTAAAATGTATGTAAGATAACAGTCCTTATGCTTAGCTGGCACAAAACGAAACTGTTGCTTCAATGTGTCGACTGTAGAGTATTTAGATGCTGCCTCAATCTGAATAAAATAAATATATACAAATGGTTATTCTCAGCAATTATTAAAAAAAAAAAAAAAAAAAAAAAAAAAGATATAAAATTTGTATACAAATTGTTACCTTTACAGGGTTTCTTAGACAAGCTCTTTGTAGCTTTTGCACCTGAAATGTTATTAGTCATGATAATGTTGTAAATTGCAAGAAACACTGCTACTGTCAACAGTATTGTTTTTATATTTTGTAAAATTGATTTTGATTATAGCATAACTGATGTAAATTTGTACCTTCTTAGTCATTGTAGCAGAGAACAAGTATGTTCTTCTTTCACGAGGAATGGCATTTAAGATTTCATCAAGTGATTTTTCAAAATCTTCATTTAGCAATCTGTCTGCTTCATCCAAAACCTGTCATACATGTGTGTGAAATATATATATAAAAGGTTTCTTTTTTGAAAATAAAGAAAGGAGGGATTTTATTTGTGTTCTTACCAAGTACTTAATTGTGCGAAGGGAAAACCCTTTAGTGTTGGATAAATGGTCCACGAGGCGTCCAGGTGTTGCAACCTGAAGCAACAGGAATGTATAAAAGGTAAAACAAGTGATGAGAAATATTCATGTTTTTTGAAAGGCAATGAAAATGAAGTACATAGTGAAAAAAGAAAATTCATAAACAAGAAAGCTTACAACAATATGTGGTCGTTTTCCAAGGGCGATGCTTTGTTGTACATGGTCTACCCCTCCAACAAGCTGCAAGATTGAAGTCGGATGATTACCAAAAGTTCATAAACCTTAAAATATGACAAAATATTCATTGGTTTGATTTATTATTGAAAGCCATTGCAATTTCACACTTTAACTATTGTATATCAAATACCAAATCATAGATTGAACGAATAAAGTTGTAACTTATTTGATGAAAATGTAAAACAAATATATATTTGTCATGTTATACGCAATTTAAAACAATCTACCTGACAATTATATGACCTAAAAACAACTTTAAAAACTCACCACTGCAGTCTTTAGGCTAATGCTTGACCCCAAGGCCTCAAATTGTTCAGCAATTTGAATTGCAAGTTCCCTAGAAAGAATTCAAGAGCAGTGAAGAAAAATAATTGTATAATCAATGGAGTTTCCAAACAAAATGCCAAAGCCAGACAAACCTTGTGGGAGAAAGCACGCAGGCAAAGAAGGCGTGTTGAACAGGTGGAACCGCCGCCGCGGCGGCCAACAGGGCTTGAAGAATCGGTAGAGCGAAAGCTCCAGTTTTACCAGAACCAGTTTGTGCTAGCCCAATTAAGTCCTTCCCTAAACATTAGATACAATCAGACAACATCAGCTACACTGTGAGATACAAAAATGCCGATATGAATCACTCGGAGTTGAAACAATAGAGAAGAGACTGAACCTTCAAGCGCATGAGGAATGGCCTCAGCCTGTATCTTGGAAGGATTTTTCCAGCCTAAACTATCACAAGCCTCGACTAATTGTTCAACTAATCCTAATTCTTTGAATGATTTCACTTCTTCTTTGTCGTCTTCCATGTTTTAATCTGCAAAAAGTCGGATAAAGTAAGGTCCTAAATCCTAATAATAAGTATTGTTTTTCATTTAACCAAAAGCATACAAATCGAATATTGTTTACGAACAATTGGAATAGAGCAGGGCAACAATGAAGACGATGAAGAGAGGGCAAAGCTGCAGTGGTATCGGCGACGGAGAAGGTTAGATTATGTGTGGCAATTTTAGGGTTTTTACGTCTCTGTGTGTGTAGTAGAAGACGGAAACGTTCGTGTTACGTGTGCTTTAGGATACCGAGTAACACACAGTACCAGACTATAGTCGTCCATGGGCTTAATCATTTTCATCTATTAGGCTATTACAAATATCAGTGAGCATTGAAATAATGGCCCAATTCTCTTTAATTTAAAACAAAATTTCAAAATTTGTCCTTTGGTTTTCAAAAAGTAATATTTTAAGGATATTTATCTAAAACGCAACATCGGTTCTTATTGTTTCAAAACCTTACATTATTGCTCCTGAACGTTAATTCTAACTTTTGACCTCTAAATGACCAATATATTTTTAGACCAAATCTGAAAAATTATATATATATATATATATATATATATATAGGGTTAGGTTAATAATGTGGATGACATGTATTGAAGTTGTAAGAATAATTATGAACCAATATATGAAAAAAAAAATAAAGTTATAATTGAATGTCTATATTATTACAATAGAATAATATGTATCATATAATCCTACAAATATCATTATGAGAGCATTTTGGTCGATTGAACTTGATTTAAAAATAGAAATTTCAGATTTTAAGGAACAATTGATTATCTTTATTTTAAATTTTTTATTTTAGTGGATATTTATTCTTTTAATTCAGGCATTCTTAAAAAATAAATTTGAGAGTATGGTGTATATTCTAATCGAATATGTTTATAAATATGAATTTAGTTTTTTCTTTTTAAACAAAACTCTTTCTTGGTAAAAGAAAACTTAGGATTATACACTTTGTTTATATTTTAAAAGAAAACTTACAATTATACATTTTGTTTATATTTGGATGTTAATTATTGTCAATGTTAATATAATATTTTTAATCTTTTGTAATAAATAAAAAAAGAATTTAACCCACGCTCTCTCTTTATCTCTGCTAGTCTTCTCCCTTACTCCATAACCTTCTCCATAGTCACATTTGCTACACGCAAGCCGGAGAACTGCAACCCACACCATCGACGGAAACCGCTCATTCTGCTGTTGCCTGAAAAATCAACAACCACTTCAAAAAAAGAACCACCGGAAATTCCAAAATTACCAACAAAACCATTTCAAACCACCAGAAAAATCGACAATCTTGTCTTCAAGAAAACCACCTGTAAGTACCAAAATCACATCCACCTTTTCAAGATTCGATTTGCAGAAGAATTCAAGATTTAATTGGTTCAAGAGATCTTTAAGGTTTCATCTTCAATGACGAGTAAGGCTTCCGATCTAATGCTTTCTATCGGGCGGGGTGGGAGGTTTTCTTGAAGACGACGGAGGGGTAGTGGTGGAATGGCTTTTTAGGATGAGCTTTGTCTCTGAATGGAATCGATCGGAGATTGCACCTATGTTGTGTTGGTTGTGTTGCAGGTCTCCGATATGGGTGTTCACGAAAGGTACAGAGGGGAGGGGAAGACGAACTGGCATAAAGGGGGTGGTGGGTTAATCGAATGTTCTATTTATTACAAAAGAATTAAAAAGATATTATATTAAGTTACTAACATACACCATAATTACATTCCAAATATAAACGAGGACACTATTGTCAATTTCTCTTAAAAATCAGTGGATAAATATAGAGAAAACAGTGGAAATATCATCTCCCATATAGATCCAGTAAAAGAAAAAACTGTGTAGGAAGATAAAAAGTTTTTTTTTCGGCATATTTTTTTGGGAAACAAAATAAATGAATTAATAGATTAATCAAAAATAACATGGTTCATAAAAAAACATTCCTAAAAAAACATTTCAGTAATTCATTTTTAAGATGATTTTGTTAATATTCACTAAAATTGTCATAAAAATGAATTTTTTTCTTAATTTACTTAAAATTGAATCATGAATTTGTTTTCTGAGAATTTTTTCTTGTAAATTGTAACACCCCGTTTATTTATTTAATAAACAAATAAATTAATGAACGAATAGTAGCCATCAAATAAATAATTACATGTAAAAGGATGGTCTCCCATAGTTATTGTCACAATTTTAGAAGTCGGGGATTAAAAGTGTAACATCTGGACCCCGTTTATAAATATTTATGAATACATGGGCTCCGTGGTAATTATAGGAACTTAGTTGAAAATAATTCGACAAGCAATGGGTTGTTTTGTAAAATTCAGATTTAATTTGTCAAGGAATAATGGAAGCAGGGTGCAAATAGAAAATATTTGATTAAATTCGAAAACAAAAGTGTGAGGAGGGGCTGAAGTTGGATTTTTGGATCAAAGTTTAGAGGAACACGGGATCTACCCAGTGACCTATTTACCCTACTGTTACATCGCCTAGCTCATTCCTAACCCTAATCGTTGAAGCAACCACCCCCTATGTCTCTCCACTGTCGTCGCCATCATGCTATTCCGATCGGCCATCGATGACTTGGACCACCGAGGCCAACAATTGTGCCCCATCCTCTTGATCAGGAGATCCGTTGGTGACCAATTCGAAGCAAGAGAACCGTCGCCGCCACTCTTTTTCATGTGTTTTCCGAGCAGCCAATACCGTGAAGTGGGTTACATTCTTCTATACGAGTCGTTAGTGGAATGGAGCTCACGGTAAGGTCAGCTGCCACCACCTAAACCTCCTTCTTCGTCTTTTCTGTGACCTGACATCGTGTACGTCGTCGGGAACCGATGGTCGCCTTTGGTCGCTGCTGTTGGGTTTCCGATCGTCGCTTGCCACCGCGAAGGGCCGAATGAGGCTATACCGGATGGAAATCGGAGATGTGTCGTCGTTGCCTTTAGCTGAAGACGCGTCGTCGTTGTTCCCTGCGGTAGCTGTGACATCCCCAAAATCACGGCCAGAAAAGACCGGTTTTGTTTATACTTTATTTCAAAATCAGAGTTATCTTTTAATAAATGGTTTGCGAAATTTGTCCCAAAACAATAATATGATAAAGATTTATCAAAAGCATTTCCATAGAAATGTATTCATTAAAAGACTCGGGATGTCATGTTCGTACAGATCAAAAGTATAAACAGTACAATATAAGCCTTACTACATTATTTCATATCTACAGGCCTATATCCGTAATCCCTCGTCCAAAACATCACACCTATGCTCATGCGCCACTACCTGTAATGCATAAAACTGAGTGGGTCAGGCTTGGGAGCCTGGTGAGCACATAGGGTTTTCAACCCACAATAAATAAGTTTATTAATTTCATCAATCAACAATAACCCGATTACCCGTTCCCGTTATCCTCACTTTACGTCCCTAAACACCTATCATAAGGGACCTAGCCTAAGGATCATCATCGGGACGGACACTACTGCTAAGGGGATTCCTCAGCAATAAATGTCCTAATAGGCAACCATGTGGGGGATGGAGTACACCGGTGAACACATCGTTCACAACACCTACAGGTTGCGAGCCTGCTAGTGTTCCACTGGACTGTCTAGAAGAGTCCGTGGTCGTCATCTATACTCCGCTAGATGACTGGATCAACAACAACAACATCGAGGCCTCTCATCATTTTATCACACATCACCTATTACATCTACCCATGTTTTACCCCAACATTTTCGTAGATATAAAATACATATACAGTTTAAATCATTGAAAACATGTATAACAACGTTCATCTAGCATAGATAGCAAGTATTCAGATAATATGCACACATAGCACGTAATTTATATAAAATACTTCATATCTATGTGTAAGTTGAAGTAACTATGCACTCACCGGAAAAGGTGGTGATTCCGAACTCAGACAGCGCTTCGCTTCTTAAAAAGAATTTTTCTTCGACGAAACCTAGTATTATTACCACTAGAGTTTAGTTTATTATTCGTCGAGACTAATTAATAGTCTAGCTATTATTATTATTATTATATAAGCGTCAAAAAAATACTTATATAACCCATAATAATAGCCCAAGTATTTATTATAAGTTCCTAATAACGTTACTATAATTAAATAAAAGTTATATTAAAAATAGCGTAGGCGTAGCTCACTTACAGCGGGTTTTATAGAAAACCGGGCTTTGCTTGGAGCAGCGTTCCCGAGCCGAAAAGCTCTTCTTCTCAGAGCCTTCGAGCACTCCGGGGCTTCCGCCTCGTGCTAGGGAGGTTCCCTAGGCTTTTCGGGGGATTTCGGGGCTAGAGAGAGGTTCTAGAGAGAGAGAGAGAGTAAAGAGAAGAAAGAATGGGAAAGGTGTGAAGAAAATGAGGGTGGGAGAGGTGGTATTTATAGGGTGAAATGTGGCTGAACTTGGTGCCACATGTCACCATCTGGTGGCAAGCCTTGGGGAGAAAGCAATGGCCAAGATTGTGCCACATCACCCATTTTCGCACAGCACACTTCCGACTTCTAAAATCCGTAACTTTCACATACGACCTCCGTTTTTGACGTTCTTTATATCCACGCGTAGGTAATAATAAGATCTACAACTTTCATTTTGACACCGTCAGCTAATTCTCGACCGATCTTAAATTTAACAGTACAAGGAGATTATACTGTTAAACGTCTGCGTAAAATTAATAACTTCTACATACGGACTCTGTTTTTGTCTGTCTTTTTACCGTTGATTTCCTATTAATGAGATCTTCAACTCTCATTTATGTTGCGTAAGCCAAAAACCGCTCGAACTAAAATTCGAGTTTCAGGCCGTGCACTGCTAAGCCGAATCTTAGAAAAATCATAACTTCTTCATACGAAGTCAGATTTGGGCGTTCTTTTTATCGATGTTCTTAGTTTAACATATTCTACGACTTTTGTTTAGATTGCTAAGGCTAAAAAGTCTTCTATCGTAAATTCACTATTTACGTTCCCGGTGTCGTGCCGGTTTTGCCGTAAAACTTCGGCGGGCCATAACTTCTTCGTTATAGCTCGGATTTCGGCATTCTTTATATACGGAAACCTTGAGACATATTCTACAACTTTATGTAGAGATATCGGGATTATCTCACACTTTAATTTTGACGCTCATTTTTATTCTTTATTAATTATACATTTATAATTAAATAATAAACACATAAACACACATAATTCACATAATACTCAAATATTTCATATTTATTACTTCAAAAAGAGTTACAATAGTTGACCTAGACTATTACATTGACAAAAATGCTTAGCCCTGAAAACCCGGGCGTTACAATTCTCACCCCCTTAGGATGATTCCGTCCCGGAATCATGCATCAGCAAACAGATGTGGATAGCGACTCATCATGTCATCCTCTGTTTCCCAAGTGAGATTCGGCCCATTCGAATGTTTCCATCGGACTAGCACCAAGTCGACCATCTTGCGTCGTAACTTCTTAGTCTTACGGTCAATAATTGCCTCAGGCTCTTCGATCAGCCTTTTATTCTCATCCATCCTTAATTCCGAGATTGGAATTATGTCGGGAACATCTCCCATGAATTTCCTCAAATAACACACATGGAAGGTGTTATGAATACCATTGAGTTCTTCGGGCAATTCCAGCTTGTAAGCTTGGTTCCCAATCCTCTGAAGAACTTTGAATGGTCCAATAAACCTTGGACTCAACTTTCCTCGTTTCCCAAATCGTATAAGTCCCTTCCACGGTGAGACTTTAAGTAAAACGGAATCCCCAACTTCGAAGGTTATCGGTCGTCTTTTCTTGTCGGCATAGCTCTTCTGACGATCCTGAGCTGCTAACATTCTTTCCCTAATCACCTTCAATTTCTCAGCAGTCTCATGGACTATCTCGGGGCCCATAAACTGCTTCTCTCCGGCTTCAAGCCAACAAGACGGCGTACGACACTTCTGCCCATACAAGGCTTGATAAGGAGCCATCTTGATGCTCGAGTGAAAACTATTGTTGTAGGAAAATTCTACCAGAGGTAAGTGCTCGTCCCAATTCCCTTGGAATTCGAGGGTACATGCTCTCAGCATATCTTCCAACGTCTGAATCGTTCTTTCACTCTGACCATCAGTTTGCGGATGGTAAGCAGTACTCAAACACAACTTTGTACCCAACTCCTCTTGTAGACTCCTCCAAAACCTCGACGTGAAACGACTATCACGATCTGACACAATCGTAAGAGGGACACCGTGAAGTCTTACAATTTCCTTCACGTAAGCATTTGCGAGCTTATCCATAGACCACTTCTCGTTGGCTGCTATGAAGTGTGCACTCTTGGTGAAACGATCCACGACTACCCAAATCATGTCGTGTCCATTCTTCGTTCTGGGCAGTTTAGTCACAAAATCCATGGTGATGTCTTCCCATTTACCCATGGGTACAGGTAAGGGTTCTAAACTCCCATACGGTTTTTGATGTTGTGCCTTAACCCTCGCACATGTTACGCACTCAGCCACATACTTCGCAACATCGAGCTTCATCGTCGGCCACCAGTAGTAGGGTTTTAGGTCCCTATACATTTTAGTGCTACCGGGATGAATCGAGTACATGGTCTTGTGTGCTTCTTCCATTAGAAGATCTCTTATTCCTCCCGTCTTAGGTACCCAAATTCGATCTTGGAATACCTTCAGTCCTCGACTGTTCGTACCGAACACTAACGTTTTTCCCAAACGTTCTTCCTTTCGGTCATTCTTTTCTAAGGCTTCTTCTTGAGCTTTCCTGATACTTTCCACAATCGTCGAGACGACTTCAATTCTTAACGCTCTTGGCCTTTTCTTTCAAGATTGACTTTCCGACTGAGAGCATCAGCAACAATATTTGCTTTACCTGGGTGGTAAAGTATCTCACAGTCGTAGTCCTTGAGAAGTTCTAGCCAGCGTCGTTGCCTCATGTTCAACTCCTTCTGATTAAAGAGATACTGGAGACTCTTATGATCAGTGAAGAGCTTGCACTTCGTGCCGTAGAGGTAATGCCTCCATATCTTTAAGGCGAATACTACCGCTGCCAACTCCAGATCATGAGTGGGGTAGTTCTTTTCGTGCTCTTTCAATTGTCGAGATGCGTATGCTATCACCTTTTCTCTTTGGGTCAGAACACAACCTAACCCGACTCCAGATGCATCACTATAAACTGCGAAATCTTCGACTCCATCGGGTAGAGAAAGTATCGGGCTTCACATAACTTCTTCTTTAGCTTCTCGAACGCCTCATCGTGTTTCTCACTCCATGTATACGTAGCTCCTTTATGGGTCAAAGCTGTTAATGGAGCAGCTATCGAAGAAAAGCCTTGGATAAATCGTCGGTAATATCCGGCTAATCCTAGAAAGCTTCGAATCTCCGTGGGATTCTTCGGACGTTCCCACTTCATTACAGCTCGATCTTGGCGGGTCAACCATTATTCCTTCTTGGTTAACAACATGACCCAAGAATTGGACTTCCCGTATCCAAAAGTCGCATTTGGAGAACTTTGCAAAAAGCTTCTCCTTCTTTAACACCTCCAACACTTCTCGTAGATGCTTGCCATGCTCCTCCTGGCTTTTCGAGTATGAGAATGTCGTCGATGAACACTATCACGGATTTATCGAGGAATGGTTTACAAACCCTATTCATCAAATCCATGAATGCTGCGGGAGCATTGGTTAGTCCGAATGACATAACCAAGAACTCGTAGTGTCCATATCTTGTTCTGAATGCAGTCTTCTCAATATCCTGCTCTCTCACCTTCAGCTGATGATATCCTGACCTAAGATCGATCTTTGAGAAGTAGCTCGAACCTTGCAGCTGATCGAATAGGTCATCAATCCTCGGCAATGGATACTTGTTCTTCACCGTTGCCTTATTCAGCTCTCGGTAGTCTATGCACATCCTCATGCTTCCGTCCTTCTTCTTCACGAATAACACCGGAGCTCCCCAGGGTGATGAACTAGGTCGAATGAAACCGCTGTCCAACAGCTCCTGAA